AATAGAGATGGAAAATGTGAAGTATGCGGTCGTGAACTTTTTTTGAGTGTTCCTTGCTTCTGTGTTATGAATTCTAGGTGTGAACAGCAAAAGCTTACGACACCTGGGATTCCCAAGCCGTCTCCGATCCAAGTACTAACCAGGCCCAACGTTGCTTAACTTGCCAGATCGGACGGGATGGCGTGCTTTCAACGTGGTATGGCCGTAAGCGATGCTGAGGGTAAGGCAAATGTGGATATTTCCGCATCAGTGCAGAAGTATCCACAGTGTAGTGGGTGGACGTGTAGTTAGATCATGGGTAGGGTATGCGTGTTCCTAGGCCCGTGGCTGGAACTTAGATGATCTGATGAGGGGGGGGTCGACTAGCTAATACTGGAGCCGGTATTGTACAAGGTACAGCCATGTAAGTCATCGAATAGGTCACATCCTGTTCAGTAAGCACTATGAGTCGCAATAGAGATGGAAAATGTGAAGTATGCGGTCGTGAACTTTTTTTGAGTGTTCCTTGCTTCTGTGTTATGAATTCTAGGTGTGAACAGCAAAAGCTTACGACACCTGGGATTCCCAAGCCGTCTCCGATCCAAGTACTAACCAGGCCCAACGTTGCTTAACTTGCCAGATCGGACGGGATGGCGTGCTTTCAACGTGGTATGGCCGTAAGCGATGCTGAGGGTAAGGCAAATGTGGATATTTCCGCACCAGTGCGGAAATATCCACATCAGTGCAGAAGTATCCACAGTGTAGTGGGTGGACGTGTAGTTAGATCATGGGTAGGGTATGCGTGTTCCTAGGCCCGTGGCTGGAACTTAGATGATCTGATGAGGGGGGGGGTCGACTAGCTAATACTGGAGCCGGTATTGTACAAGGTACAGCCATGTAAGTCATCGAATAGGTCACATCCTGTTCAGTAAGCACTATGAGTCGCAATAGAGATGGAAAATGTGAAGTATGCGGTCGTGAACTTTTTTTGAGTGTTCCTTGCTTCTGTGTTATGAATTCTAGGTGTGAACAGCAAAAGCTTACGACACCTGGGATTCCCAAGCCGTCTCCGATCCAAGTACTAACCAGGCCCAACGTTGCTTAACTTGCCAGATCGGACGGGATGGCGTGCTTTCAACGTGGTATGGCCGTAAGCGATGCTGAGGGTAAGGCAAATGTGGATATTTCCGCACCAGTGCGGAAATATCCACATCAGTGCAGAAGTATCCACAGTGTAGTGGGTGGACGTGTAGTTAGATCATGGGTAGGGTATGCGTGTTCCTAGGCCCGTGGCTGGAACTTAGATGATCTGATGAGGGGGGGGGTCGACTAGCTAATACTGGAGCCGGTATTGTACAAGGTACAGCCATGTAAGTCATCGAATAGGTCACATCCTGTTCAGTAAGCACTATGAGTCGCAATAGAGATGGAAAATGTGAAGTATGCGGTCGTGAACTTTTTTTGAGTGTTCCTTGCTTCTGTGTTATGAATTCTAGGTGTGAACAGCAAAAGCTTACGACACCTGGGATTCCCAAGCCGTCTCCGATCCAAGTACTAACCAGGCCCAACGTTGCTTAACTTGCCAGATCGGACGGGATGGCGTGCTTTCAACGTGGTATGGCCGTAAGCGATGCTGAGGGTAAGGCAAATGTGGATATTTCCGCACCAGTGCGGAAATATCCACATCAGTGCAGAAGTATCCACAGTGTAGTGGGTGGACGTGTAGTTAGATCATGGGTAGGGTATGCGTGTTCCTAGGCCCGTGGCTGGAACTTAGATGATCTGATGAGGGGGGGGTCGACTAGCTAATACTGGAGCCGGTATTGTACAAGGTACAGCCATGTAAGTCATCGAATAGGTCACATCCTGTTCAGTAAGCACTATGAGTCGCAATAGAGATGGAAAATGTGAAGTATGCGGTCGTGAACTTTTTTTGAGTGTTCCTTGCTTCTGTGTTATGAATTCTAGGTGTGAACAGCAAAAGCTTACGACACCTGGGATTCCCAAGCCGTCTCCGATCCAAGTACTAACCAGGCCCAACGTTGCTTAACTTGCCAGATCGGACGGGATGGCGTGCTTTCAACGTGGTATGGCCGTAAGCGATGCTGAGGGTAAGGCAAATGTGGATATTTCCGCACCAGTGCGGAAATATCCACATCAGTGCAGAAGTATCCACAGTGTAGTGGGTGGACGTGTAGTTAGATCATGGGTAGGGTATGCGTGTTCCTAGGCCCGTGGCTGGAACTTAGATGATCTGATGAGGGGGGGGTCGACTAGCTAATACTGGAGCCGGTATTGTACAAGGTACAGCCATGTAAGTCATCGAATAGGTCACATCCTGTTCAGTAAGCACTATGAGTCGCAATAGAGATGGAAAATGTGAAGTATGCGGTCGTGAACTTTTTTTGAGTGTTCCTTGCTTCTGTGTTATGAATTCTAGGTGTGAACAGCAAAAGCTTACGACACCTGGGATTCCCAAGCCGTCTCCGATCCAAGTACTAACCAGGCCCAACGTTGCTTAACTTGCCAGATCGGACGGGATGGCGTGCTTTCAACGTGGTATGGCCGTAAGCGATGCTGAGGGTAAGGCAAATGTGGATATTTCCGCACCAGTGCGGAAATATCCACATCAGTGCAGAAGTATCCACAGTGTAGTGGGTGGACGTGTAGTTAGATCATGGGTAGGGTATGCGTGTTCCTAGGCCCGTGGCTGGAACTTAGATGATCTGATGAGGGGGGGGGTCGACTAGCTAATACTGGAGCCGGTATTGTACAAGGTACAGCCATGTAAGTCATCGAATAGGTCACATCCTGTTCAGTAAGCACTATGAGTCGCAATAGAGATGGAAAATGTGAAGTATGCGGTCGTGAACTTTTTTTGAGTGTTCCTTGCTTCTGTGTTATGAATTCTAGGTGTGAACAGCAAAAGCTTACGACACCTGGGATTCCCAAGCCGTCTCCGATCCAAGTACTAACCAGGCCCAACGTTGCTTAACTTGCCAGATCGGACGGGATGGCGTGCTTTCAACGTGGTATGGCCGTAAGCGATGCTGAGGGTAAGGCAAATGTGGAATGGAAGGCCAGTGCACGGCGTATCTTGCGGAGGAGAGAGGAGGACGCTGTGCCCCTCAAAAGGTCAAAAGTTCCTGGATACCCATAATTTTCATCGTGCTGAGTGCAAGGCGAGTGCGCGGCGTATCCCCATCTCTTTCATCTGTGGATGCGCTCTGCATCTGGTTCTTACGCTGAGCTAGTGGGAGTGGGAGTGGGGCTCCCACGCAATGACTGTTTGAAAAAATGAGTTGGATTTTTTTAGGAGATAACGCCGTCTTATCAAGCCCAAATTTTGTCAGACAGCAAATCGAGGTCGCTGAATTCGATGGTGGTCTTAATTTTGCATGAAGTTCATCTACTGCCGAGTGTTCCCAGGACTCGAATTCTTCAAAGTTCTTCCTACCGTAATTACCTTAAATTGGCACCGTGCGCGCCCGAAATTTCAACCCGTGCGCGATTCAGACTGCCGATGCGCACGCCGCCCGTGCGCTCCATCGACGCCGCTGCACAGCCCGCCGCGGGCGCCATGGCGCTGCTCCCCCATGTTCATGGGTCTGGATCTCGCCTCAAACCTAACCGATTGACCGCAAATTTTGATCACACCACTGAATCTACATTCTAGGTCGAAGCTGAGCGTCTCACCCATCGGCTTTTCGGTCCCGTTTTCTGCTGTACAGCGCTTCATCTTTAAGCCGAACCGAGATGAAGAACAGAACCATCCATTTTCCGTGTATACAACAACAACAACGACTTCAAGACTGATATAATTCATTACAAAATAATAATCGAGGTGCCACATCGCGACCCCTTCTCGCCAGCGCCATTATGAGCGAACAACATCGACCCTGAACTCATATAGAATAACTTCTAAAGGCTGTCTGAAAAGACACTGATAAAAAACTACAAAAGGCTGTTTCGCCCTCTCAACTACAGACAGCCAAAAGATTCGAATGGGCTCATCAGTGTGGTCTACAGAACGGCACAGAAACTGTTAGTTACACATTTTGACACTTCAGGACTTCTTCCGAGTAGCAAATGGAGAGACAAATAGTGCCCACATTCAATTCCACAAACCTGTTAACACACCTTCGAAAATGACACGTTCTTAAACAGCTCATAGAATCTCTGTTCAGTCTTGACAGCCTTTGTAAGACCAAAGATCCCCAGCTACCAAAGAAAACACTAATATATCCAATAAATAGAACCAAAAGCCTTAACATTCCAGGAACCACATGGTCCAGCTTGCAAAATGCTGTTTCTGGTTCATTCGGTAGAATTACGCGTGTGCATCCACTGCACACACATTTACTTACGCCTAAAAATCCACTGCAGCCGCATGCCACTCTCATAGAAAGGCAAATCAAAACAGTGCTGAAATTGCGTCAAAACAGCCAGCCAGGATGGCTTTGGGCCAGTCTCGCCGGCTTTTTGCCTTTCCCTTAAGTAAGGCAAGAACAAAACGCAAGTTAGAAAAAAGAGAAAACAAGACCAATCACGCCTGAAATTTCACAGGGTGAGGTAATCGAGGGCGCTGAGTTCAACGGTGCCATTCATTTTGCACGAAGTTCAATTACATCCCACTCTGGGCTCCACTACAGTCCATAATCGGTCGAGCTCCCTAACAAAAGCCCTGCGCTGGGCGCCCGACAGCCACCTGCTCAAAATAGGCTCCGCCCCCTACACCTGTAAATGGTCGAAATTGTTGGCCATGGTGTTACCCTGCTTCTGGCAAAGTTTGGTGCTCTTACCTTCTCTGCCTCTCGACTTATCGCACTATTTCTCCAAAAACACCCCTGTCTGACGCGCGCACTTGAATTCGCACTTTGAAGGCCAAAAACACCCCTTAGAATTCGGATCCAGCAAAATCGAAGCCCCGAACCCTGCCTCAGTTTTTCGAGCTCTATCGAATGAGCTATAATACGTCCCGATCCGTGAACTTTCATTTTTGCGGTCGCAAACTATAGGGTATGGCCGTAAGCGATGCTGAGGGTAAGGCAAATGTGGATATTTCCGCACCAGTGCGGAAATATCCACATCAGTGCAGAAGTATCCACAGTGTAGTGGGTGGACGTGTAGTTAGATCATGGGTAGGGTATGCGTGTTCCTAGGCCCGTGGCTGGAACTTAGATGATCTGATGAGGGGGGGGTCGACTAGCTAATACTGGAGCCGGTATTGTACAAGGTACAGCCATGTAAGTCATCGAATAGGTCACATCCTGTTCAGTAAGCACTATGAGTCGCAATAGAGATGGAAAATGTGAAGTATGCGGTCGTGAACTTTTTTTGAGTGTTCCTTGCTTCTGTGTTATGAATTCTAGGTGTGAACAGCAAAAGCTTACGACACCTGGGATTCCCAAGCCGTCTCCGATCCAAGTACTAACCAGGCCCAACGTTGCTTAACTTGCCAGATCGGACGGGATGGCGTGCTTTCAACGTGGTATGGCCGTAAGCGATGCTGAGGGTAAGGCAAATGTGGATATTTCCGCACCAGTGCGGAAATATCCACATCAGTGCAGAAGTATCCACAGTGTAGTGGGTGGACGTGTAGTTAGATCATGGGTAGGGTATGCGTGTTCCTAGGCCCGTGGCTGGAACTTAGATGATCTGATGAGGGGGGGGTCGACTAGCTAATACTGGAGCCGGTATTGTACAAGGTACAGCCATGTAAGTCATCGAATAGGTCACATCCTGTTCAGTAAGCACTATGAGTCGCAATAGAGATGGAAAATGTGAAGTATGCGGTCGTGAACTTTTTTTGAGTGTTCCTTGCTTCTGTGTTATGAATTCTAGGTGTGAACAGCAAAAGCTTACGACACCTGGGATTCCCAAGCCGTCTCCGATCCAAGTACTAACCAGGCCCAACGTTGCTTAACTTGCCAGATCGGACGGGATGGCGTGCTTTCAACGTGGTATGGCCGTAAGCGATGCTGAGGGTAAGGCAAATGTGGATATTTCCGCACCAGTGCGGAAATATCCACATCAGTGCAGAAGTATCCACAGTGTAGTGGGTGGACGTGTAGTTAGATCATGGGTAGGGTATGCGTGTTCCTAGGCCCGTGGCTGGAACTTAGATGATCTGATGAGGGGGGGGTCGACTAGCTAATACTGGAGCCGGTATTGTACAAGGTACAGCCATGTAAGTCATCGAATAGGTCACATCCTGTTCAGTAAGCACTATGAGTCGCAATAGAGATGGAAAATGTGAAGTATGCGGTCGTGAACTTTTTTTGAGTGTTCCTTGCTTCTGTGTTATGAATTCTAGGTGTGAACAGCAAAAGCTTACGACACCTGGGTAAGGCAAATGTGGATATTTCCGCACCAGTGCGGAAATATCCACATCAGTGCAGAAGTATCCACAGTGTAGTGGGTGGACGTGTAGTTAGATCATGGGTAGGGTATGCGTGTTCCTAGGCCCGTGGCTGGAACTTAGATGATCTGATGAGGGGGGGGTCGACTAGCTAATACTGGAGCCGGTATTGTACAAGGTACAGCCATGTAAGTCATCGAATAGGTCACATCCTGTTCAGTAAGCACTATGAGTCGCAATAGAGATGGAAAATGTGAAGTATGCGGTCGTGAACTTTTTTTGAGTGTTCCTTGCTTCTGTGTTATGAATTCTAGGTGTGAACAGCAAAAGCTTACGACACCTGGGATTCCCAAGCCGTCTCCGATCCAAGTACTAACCAGGCCCAACGTTGCTTAACTTGCCAGATCGGACGGGGATTCGAACTTCTCACCTCGCATACTTGAGCGCGGCACACTACCCACTAGGCCACCGATGCACTTCGTGTGACGACTCACGTCTCATTTGTGTTACCAAGCTCAATTGTGCTCCGTACAACAACCTCCTGCATATCTCTGCTCAGAGAATCGTTTAGCAGATATGGAAAGCAGATTTGAAATCAGCGTCCGAAGACGCATCAGTGTGTATGCATCTTGTCTAAATGGCCACTTCGACCAACCATCCTTTCCTTGTCAGTACATCGTGGAAGCGTGCACGTGCTGTGTGCAGTGATGAAACGCGGTTGAAGACTAGAGTCTAGGAGTATCTTTTGAAACTAGACGAGGCTTTTTCAAGGTATCTAGTCCTATGTAATTGAGTTATCCTTTCATGACTCACTGGGTGACTGATACTAGTCAACGAGTCTTGAAAAGATATCTCTCACAATTATATAAAGACTGAGTGGGGTCTCATCTAGTTCCGAAAGATATTCCCAGACTCGTAGTGTCTTATCTCGAAACGTCTGAAACGATTGTGTAGACGCTAGAATGTTCCAGATATGGTTTCGTACCTAATGGTAACCGGATATATTACCTGAATCGTTCTCAACCTCCTCTACTCACTTGGTGTGTCCACGCTTACTTCATGGCCACGAATGACGTCGCCTTTCTGGAGAAGGTTATGCCAACTTTACAGAAAGAGGTAAGGCAGTAGCTTCACAAGTGAACGCGTTCACCATGGAATAGTGATAGGTGCGAGCTTGCCGCTCGCGAACCCCGAAGTATTGCCTTCAGTACAGCCCATCAGTGTATCATATTTATTAGCTCAATAAGGCAATCAGATGGAATCGGGATTCGTCGCAGTCGAAGTAGATGACAGACCAATGATGACGGAGTTGAGTTGACAGCGCGGCAAGGAATCGGCGAGCCCAGAGGTGACGTCGGAGCAGGCAGCGGTCGTCCTGGTTGGCATCTCGGCAGATCTCTCGTTGGCGTTCAGCGCGAACCTTAAGTATTGTCGGTGAGATGAGT